ACACCCACCTTCCCTTTGAGATTCATCAGTCTGTTCCATGCTTCTATGCCTCTGGATCTATTTTGTTCATTGGTTTATTTTGTTCATTAGATTCCACATGTGAGTAAGATCATGTGACACTTGTCTTTCTCTGACTGGCTTATTTCACTTAGCATAACACTCTCTAGGTCCCACCATGCTGTCCCAAAGGGTGAGGGATCCTTCTTTTTTGCAGTTGCATAGTATTCCATGGTGTAAATGTACAAGAAGATGCTTGATATGATTTCAATCTTCTTGAACTTGTAGAGACTTGTTTTGTGTCCTAACATGTGGTCTATCTTTGAGAATGTCCCATGTGCACTTAAGGAGATTGTATATTCTACAGCTTTGGAGTGGAATGTTCTGTAAATGTCAATTAAATACCTATGATCTAGTGTGTCATTTAGAGTCACTGTTTCCTTGTAGATCTCTTGCCTGAAAGAGCTATCCAGTGAAGTCAGTGGGGTGTTAAAGTCCCCTACTATGACTATTTTGCTGTCGATGTCTCCTTTAAAGTCCTCCAGAAGTTTTGTGGGGGTTTTTTCCAGCCTGTGTGAGTCTTCTGTTCTGAGGTGGGTCTCTTGTAGACAGCATACATTTGGGTCTTATTTTCTTATCCATTCTGCTACCCTATGTCTTTTGATTGGAGCATTTAATCCATTTATATTTAAGGTGTTATTGATAGGTACTTACCTATTGCCAGTTTATTTCTTTATGCCTGTTTCTCATTCTCTCTGTTTCAACTTCTTATTACAGCAGTCCCTTTAACATTTCTTGCAATGCTGGTTTCGTGGTGATAAAGTCCTTTAGCCTTTTTTTGTCAGGAAAGCTCTTTATTTCACCATCTATTTTGAATGATAGCCTTGCTGGATAGAGTAGTCTTGGTTTCAGATCCTTGTTTTGCATTACCTTGAATACTTCATGCCTTTCCCTTCTGGCCTGTAGAGTTTCTGATGAGAAATCAGCTGACAGCCTTATGGGGGCTCCTTTGTAGGTACCAGCCTGCTTTTCTCTTGTTGCCTGTAAGATTCTCTCTTTGTTTTAGATTTTTGGCATTTTAATTCTGATGTGTTGGCTGTAGGCCTCTTTGGGTTCTTCTTGCTTGGGATTCTCTGTGCTTCCTGAACTTGTGTGACTTTTTCCTTGACCAGGTTAGGGAAGTTTTCTGCCATTATTTCTTCAAACAGGTTCTCTAACCCTTGCTTACTTTTGACCTCTTCTGGCACTCTTATGATGTGAATATTGTTACATTTCATGTTGTCCCACAGCTCTCTTAAATTGTCCTCCTATTTTTTAATTGGTTTTTTTTTTTTTGGGTCTCTGATTGAGTGATTTTTTTCCACCCTGTCTTCTAATTCGCTGATCTGATCCTCAGCATCCCTTAATCTGCTAGTCATTCCTTCCAATGATTTTTTAAAAATTTCTACTATGTCATTCTTAATTTCCATCATAGTTTCTATATCTTTTTTCATGCTGTTGAGCATCTTTATGATCAGTATTCTGAACTCTATATCTGATTGCTTATCTCCATTTCATTTAGCTCTTTTTCTGGAGACTTCTCTTGTTCTTTCATTTGGGGCTTGTTTTTTTGTCTCCTCATTTTGGCTGCCTGTTTGGATTTGTTTCTATGCATTAGGTAGATCTGCTAGGACTCCCAGTCTTTTGGATGGTCTCGGGTGCAGGTCAATGTTAGACATTGTTGTGACTGGCCTTGAGAACCCTGTTTGAAGTTTTCCACACTCCACAGCTTCTGGTTTCCTCTGCTGGGGCTGGGTGTGTTGGGACAGGACCAAGATGTGCACCAAGGTCTGCTTTTCCAAGCCCTGGGTTCAGAGGCAAATCAGGCAAAGACTCAAAGCACCCAGAGGCTGTTATTCAGTCTCTTAATGATCCTCGGGCTGTAGAAACTCCACGGGGTGGAGCCAGAGGTTTTTCACCAGGGTAAGGCAATTGTTTCCCCCCCAGGCAAAAGCTGCTTGGAAGGTAAATGTCTGCCTGAGAAAGATGTCCTCTGCTATATTGGGGAATGACTCAGTACCAGGGTCCAGACGGGTACCCTCTGAGATCTATTCCCCTAGGCAGCCCACCTGGATTCTCCTCACACTGTTTTAGTCCACTCTGCCTTCCCTCTGTTGGAGCCCAAGGTGAGAGAAATTTTGCACATGAAATTTTGTATCTTGGCCCTTTAAGAGGGTGCCCGCATTTCCAGCCACCTCTCCCTGGCAGACAGAAACCCTGCTGCTTTTCACAAGCAGACATTATGTGGGCACCTTTCTCAGTTCTGGTGCTCTAGGTTGGGGAGCACAGCCTGGGG